CTGAGCTGGTTTAAAAATACAGACTTATAAATTTGTCTGTGAAGCAAGACAATACAAATTTCACCAATATCCAGAGCTGCTGTAGACTCTGCCCGGTAAATTAGGGAGGAAAACAAGGCTGCCTACTTTCTTGCGTTCACCAAGTTCACAGCTGCTCAAATGCCTGGCATCATGTGGATGAAGGACAAGCCCACAAGCCCCTGGCCTGGCTCTCGGCTTCCGCCTCCCTCCATCGCCACCACAGCCGCCCCTGCGCTCTGCCCGCAAAGGGTGGCCTGGCCTCCTCACCTAGGAGGAGGAAGCCAACAAGGTCTGTGTTCTCAAAACTTTACTTTTTCCTCTCATTTTGTACTTGTCTGTTCATGGAAAGGCAAACAGCAATGCTGGGTACTTATTAAGAGGAAATTATGCTGGGCACTGGTGGCTCACGCCTGTCATCCTAGCTACTCAGGAGGCTGAGATCTGAGGATCACGGTGCAAAGCCAGCCCCGGCAGGAAAGCCTATGACACTCATTTCCAATTAACCACCAGAATACGGAAGCAGAGCTGTGGCTCAAAGTGGTAGAGTGCTACTAGCCTTGAGCAAAAGAGCTCAGGGACAGCACCCAGACCCTGAGTTCAAGCCCCAGGACCAACAAATAAATTAAAAATAATTTTTAAAAAAAGAAAATTATGCTGGGCAGTGGCTCACACCCGTCATCCTAGCTATTCAGGAGGCTGAGATCTGAGGATCACAGTTCAAAGCCAGCCCAGGCAGAAAAGTTCATGAGACTCTTATTGACAATTAAGCAGTAAAAACAAAACAAAAAATGAGAAGTGGAGCTGTGACTCAGGGGTACAGCACCAACCTTGAACAACAACAAAAAAAAAAAAAAAAAGAGACAGCACCTAAGCCCTGAGTTCAAGCCCCAGTCCTGGATCAAAAATTTTACATAATGAAAATAAAAGTAAATAAAAAGGCAAGCACGTAAGCCTGAATGGCAGAGCATCTGACTGGGTGTATTCTCCAACCCACAGCCATGACCACCACCAGGAGAGGAAAGGGCCTGGTCACCGGAATCCACCAACCAGGGCCCAGGGACACAAGGAACCACAGTCGACTGCCAACCCTCTCCAGGTCAAGGAGTTGGGTCCACACGGGTGAAGACTACTAGCCAATTCCTGTGCCCAGGAAAGCAGCTCTGGCAGACATTACAACATTACGACCCACTACAGATGGGGCACTCAGAAGGCTCACAAAGCCAGTAAGGGCAGTGAGCGTCCGGCCCGCCGGTCCCTATGCTTTATCCAGAGCACCACCAATGCAAACGCAAGTATGACCGTGACACACACGAAGCTGGGCAGCAAGTGGTTAGAAACGATAAGCAATCATGCGATCATTTTTCTTTTAAAAAGAAAACCACACTCAACCAACTACTAATGTTACTGGGGGGAGGGGGTTCTGTGTGCGAGTGTTGTTTTTTACTTTTCACTCAGAGAACCACCACCTTCTTTTAAAGGTGAGAAAGCAGCAGAGCACCAGTACTGGGAAGGTGTGGGAAGTGATCAAACTGCACACTGGAGATCTGTGCACCTGACACACCCAGCAGGACTGGCTGGCGTCCAGGTCGGCCTGGGAGGTGGGGGGGACTGTGAGACTCCAGTCCTGGCAATGGCAGCGGCACTCACGGGCCGAAGCAAGGAGGTCCCAAGCCAGGACAGTCCTGGCATAAAGAAAGACCCGACCTTGGAAACACCCAGTGCAGAAGAGACTGAAGGCATAGTTCAAATGGTAGAGCACTTGAGTTCAATTCCCAATACTACCCAAAAAGGGGGAGCACGTCAGCCCGTAATCCTACCTACTCAGGAGCCTGGGGTCTGAGAATCAAAGTTCTAAGCTAGCCTGGACAGAAAAGTGTTGGGAGACTTTTTATCTCCAATGAACCTGTAAAAACAGAGAAGGGAAGTGGAGGCGTGTCTCAAGTAGCAGAGCTCCACCCATAAGCCAAACCCAACAGCCAATGAGAGCATGAGGCTCTGAGTTAAGCTCCAGAACTGGTACAAAAACAAATTAAAGATGGACAGTCTATCAAAAATAGTTCAGTACCGCCGAACAAGTGGTACTTTTAAGGATCAGTATTCTATATAAAAGACAAGGGGGACACAGTTAAAATTCAGCATTTCTGTGCAATGTGGAAACATTTCTATGCTGGGGAGAAATAGATATCATCCACTCACTAATAAGAAGAGAACAGAGAAATCACAGCTTCCTCTCTTCCTCCTCCCTAGCACCACAGGCCCAGACAGAGGCTGAGCTCACCTGAGAGTTCTGTGTCCTTGAGAAGACTGAACCTCCTTCAGGTTTGCTAAAGAGAAATATCATCAGCCCTGTCAAGCAAGAAGCTCCTTGATAGTTCCTTCACGGGAATGAGAATGTTTCGACTCATTTGCATCTTAAAGGGTACTCCCTTCATGATCTCTCACACTCTAATAGACGTCTAAGCCACTAAATTACTACTTCTTTGCTTAGCCTCCAAGTCCAGGCAGACTAAGAGCTTGGTCTCCCATGGTTCTTTCCCTTAGGCTGGTCCCTGAACAGTACTGACAGCTGCTATCAAACCCGGCTGCACGTACCCTGCCACAGCTGCTGCTTGTAGTAACAGACAGTCTCCCGGTGCCCCGCCCCTCTGGGGAGACAGGTTGACACACTGCATGTTCAATGAAGGGGTGCAAAGGTCCACTGAATTGTCAACTCAATTTTATGCTACTTCGATTTTCCAGGATGCACACAATTCCTTTCAAGCAACAAGCAAGCAAGCATATGCCAGAGCACGAATCATACGGTGCAAGATAATTATTGGTAACTGTGGACTTTAAAAAGCACCTTCTGACACAAATTAATAGACTGACCCAAAAACTTCAAAGATAAAAACTGCGCATGCCCAAGATGTCTGAAGACGCACAAAGGACATGAGCCTTGCGCTGGGCCCAATGCACCAATTCGGGTCACTGTTGCTATGCTATCAGAGCTGATCAGCCTGTGTAACCTCAACGTTGTTCCTGGACTGAAGCCACGCAGACACTTGGCGCTTCAACCACCCTTCTAAAACAACGTGCTATTTTTATCTTCTGTTTCCATTCAAAATGGGTATTATCTACAAACATCTGGTTAATACAATCTCCCCCTTTTCAAAGTGTAGATCCAAAAGAGATTCACAGGGGCTAGGCTGTGCCTTTCAGAATTTAAATAAAGTCTTTTACTACTGAAAAGTTACATGTAGCTGATTGTTTGCCTACCATGTGTGAGGCCCTGGGTTCAATCCCCACCATTAACAGGAAACAAAAGAAAAATTACACATGACGACTTAGAGCCCACCAGAAACCAAACATGTTCCATGAAGTTGAGCTGGGTACTTGAGGGCTTCTTTGCATATGTTTTCTTTTAATCAAAACAGGCTTTTCTATCCTCATTCACTTGGGCTAAAAAAAAAATAATAATGTTCTGTGCTCCAGCTACAAGTACAATTCCCTATTAGTCTCTGCTAATCAAACACAGTACATGCAAAAGTACGGGTGAATATTTGATTTGATCTCTGAAATAAAGCAATTCATTACAGAAGGCAGCAGACAAATGCAGATGTAATTGTGTTTTTTTGTTGAATGTGATTAGAGAACCCACTAAGTAACAGTCAAAAAAAAAAATGTGAAGGGGAAGAAAGGCTGAGCGGAGATGTGGGGACAAGGAGGGAGACTGTTTATGCAGAGCTAAGCTGTCAAGTGTAATAAAGCAGCTTGAATAAAATTTAAGCTGAAAATCCACTGAAGCTCCCCATTTCAGGGAGGAAAAAGCTATTAAAAGGAAATGAAGGTCACCCTCCCAGTTTATTTCACCTAATTGACTGCCAATAGCTTACCACAGACAACCCCACTGCAGATCTGCAATTGAGAAACCGAGGAAAGGAGAGTTTTCAAGCTGAGGCTCACTCTTTAATCCCCCGGCTCTTATGTTTTTTCTCCATCTCCAGTTGGGATGTAATTTTAAGCCCTGATGGATTAACTGGCTCCATTGTCCGAGGCCAGCTTTGGACTGTGGCACTCCTAATCCGTACAGCAGCATGTCTAATTATCATTACAAAGTGTCTGAGGGGACTATAAAGACCAGCAGGGCATCTTCTCACAGCAATTAACATAAATTGATAAATGAGTGATTTTGAATCCGCTCAGGGCACTCACACATGAATAAAATCAGAAAGGACCCTCCCTTGTTCAGCGACCGCCTTCCCTTCATCTGGAAGGGAGCAGTGCACATGAGAACCATCCCCGGGTCCTGCTGCGGGCGGGCAGGTGGGGGGCAAACCCGGGCCGAAGGAGGGCACACAGGCATAGCACGCTCACTCACACAGGGAAGTGACCTGAGACTGACAAGCAGCAGCGGCGGGCACAGAGTGCTGACTGCGCTCCACCCAAAGTCTAGAGCACAGGGCAGACAATCTGCACGTCTTCCATGGCTGGGGAGCATGCTTTTCATTGGTGGGCCACTTAAAAATTCATGGAAGGGCACACACAAAAAAGGGGAAGGCACCGTCACAAAGGTCTGAATACCCTAGGAAGCAAAAGGCAACAGCAGAGAGAACTCGGGACCCATCTTGACCTCACTGGGACTGAATGTTTGCAGCTGGAAAGCAAGAAAAAGTATTCAAAACTCACACTTAAAGCTTCCACTTGACTATCGGCCCAAAGGTTGTTTTAAGTGTCCCAGGATAAACTAGAGGCTATTTTCCCACTTGAACACAGATTTGTTTTCTGTCCCCCTCCTAAAATCTCTCTCCTATCATGGGTCCTGATGTCATGGTCTCTTCCCTTGTACATCTCAGTAGGCACTCAAACCCTCCCCACCCTCCTTTCCCTTCTCAAGTCAGTCAACATCAAATTATGTTCATATACATGCTAAGCCATCAAACTAGTAAGAAGTGAAAGCTGGTGATACACACTGTAGGAGGTAGACCTGGAAGGCCACGTACCCCGATGATGGCGTTCAGCTCTGCCATGGTCACCTGCTTGGCGCGCTCCACAGCCTGGGCCACCTGTTGTTGATGCTTTGAAAACAAGAGGAGCGTGTGTTAGCAACAGCCAAGAACTTCCTTGTTCATTCTAGTAACAAAAAGAGCTACAGGCAAAAAGACAACAGGGTTAAGCTGGAAAAGCTGCCTCATTCTGGAATCCCTGCTACTGGAGAGGCTGGGATCAGCCTTGGAGTCTAGCCCCTTAAAAGCTCAGCAGATCCCCACCTCAACCAGTAAAGAGTTGGGTGTGGCAGGCACACCTGTTATCCTAACTAGTGGGAGACAGAAATAGGAGGACCAAAATCCAGGCTGGTTCAGGCAGAAATGCAGGCCTACTGACTTATGGGGCAGGGACTTAGCCTCCAGTGGAATAGAGCCTCAAAAAGAACTTGAGAAGAGGGCTTGTTGGATTAGGTCCTGAATAAAGTTTATAGCGATTACACTGCTTTGGTTTTGTGCTGGTACTAAGGCCCCACGCTCTTGTTTGGCTGTTTCTCCCAAGGCTGGTGCTCTACCACTTAAGTCACACTTCCACTTCTGTATTTTTATATTTTTTTGCTGGATTAATTAGGCAACTCTAGGAATTTCTCTTTTTCTTTTAGCCCTTTGACTTGTGGTAGAAAGATTCCCTTAGTTTGGGTGCTTCCCAATTCCATTCACAAGTAAATATGCAGCCACAAGTCAACTTTGATAGGACTGGGATCAACAGCATTAAAATCTAATAAACAGCTGGCAGTGATCAACGGCGGATGACACCCCTGGTATTCCAACTCCCTGCTCACGGAGCTTTCCTCCCTATCAAGACACCTTCTCCTTGACACAGTGAGAACACTCAGACACATTCAGCAGCTTATATCCAGAAAGCAGCCTTCCAAGGCAAAACTAAAAGACAACGTTGGGTCAACTTCACTGACTGCTTACACAAAGCTCTTTCCCTCAATGTGCTTAAATAAAGTGGCTCATCTCTGTGACTCCAGCCTGACATAGCCTGAGTATGACTACGAACAGGGAGTATGAGCAGTCCGTAACACTACAAACAGGAAGTCTGCCTGCACGGCCAGCCTCCATGGTGCCACCCTGAACACAGCAAGAGAAAGAAGAAAAGAAAAGAGAGCCAGGCTCCAGTGAGTGTCTATAATCTTAGCTACTCAGTAGGCTGAGATTTGAAGAATTTGGTTCTAAGCCAACTCAGGCAGGAAAGTCTCAAAAAACAAAAGGCAGGTAACCTCAAAAAACAAAAGCCAGAACTCGAGTAGAAGAGCAGCAGCCTTCACAGAAAACAGCGAAGGAGCAGTACCTGAACCCTGAGCTAAACCAACCTTCCCCCCTCCAAAAAATAAGTAAAAACCCAACAATAAAAAAGACAAAAGCTCATCCAAATCCTAAGCTACCAAGCTTACATTACTCCACAAAAAGGAAAAAAAGAAGAGATAAAGAAAGCTTTCTGTTTGGTAGTCATTTTGCAGTTTTTCCATAGGAAAAAAAATTAGCTTGGGGTTGAGCGTCTGTCACCACTTGTGCAGCAAGCTTCAGATGTGTCAGACGGGATGGCAGGGGGCTTACACACTTCAGCTGTAACAGATGTTCTTCACACTTGTTCCTTGTGATAAAATTAACATCTTAAAACTAGCTAATTTGCAAACAGAGAAGCAACATAATTGCACTTTAACAGCTGAACGGCTTTACTTACTTCCTGAGACAGAAACGGGATGACTTGTGCGCAGATCGTGTTCAGCCTCTTGGCAATCTCAGTCTGCAAAGAGAAAGCCACACCAGCATTTAGAGCACCTCACAGTCAGCTGACTTCACACCAGCAACACTCAGTCAGCTGACTTCACACCAGCAACACTCACAGTCAGCTGACTTCACACTGCAACACTCACAATCAGCTGACTTCATACCAGCAACACTCACAGTCAGCTGACTTCACACTGCAACACTCAGTCAGCTGACTTCACACCTGCAACACTCACAGTCAGCTGACTTCACACCAGCAACAATCACAGTCAGCTGACTTCACACTGCAGCACTCACAATCAACTGACTTCATACCAGCAACACTCACAGTCAGCTGACTTCATACCAGCAACACTCACAGTCAGCTGACTTCACACCAGCAACACTCAGTCAGCTGACTTCATACCAGCAACACTCAGTCAGCTGACTTCATACCAGCAACACTCACAGTCAGCTGACTTCACACCAGCAACACTCAGTCAGCTGACTTCACACCAGCAACAATCAGTCAGCTGACTTCACACCAGCAACACTCAGTCAGCTGACTTCACACCAGCAACACTCAGTCAGCTGACTTCATACCAGCAACACTCAGTCAGCTGACTTCTTCACACCAGCAACACTCACAGTCAGCTGACTTCACACCAGCAACACTCAGTCAGCTGACTTCACACCAGCAACACTCACAGTCAGCTGACTTCATACCAGCAAAAATCACAGTCAGCTGACTTCACACTGCAACACTCACAGTCAGCTGACTTCACACCAGCAACACTCAGTCAGCTGACTTCACACTGCAACACTCACAGTCAGCTGACTTCACACTGCAACACTCACAGTCAGCTGACTTCACACTGCAACACTCACAGTCAGCTGACTTCACACCAGCAACACTCACAGTCAGCTGACTTCACACTGCAACACTCAGTCAGCTGACTTCACACCAGCAACACTCATAGTCAGCTGACTTCACACCAGCAACACTCAGTCAGCTGACTTCACACCAGCAACACTCAGTCAGCTGACTTCACACCAGCAACACTCACAGTCAGCTGACTTCACACTGCAACACTCACAATCAGCTGACTTCATACCAGCAACACTCACAGTCAGCTGACTTCACACTGCAACACTCAGTCAGCTGACTTCACACCTGCAACACTCACAGTCAGCTGACTTCACACCAGCAACAATCACAGTCAGCTGACTTCACACTGCAACACTCACAATCAACTGACTTCACACCTGCAACACTCACAGTCAGCTGACTTCTTCACACCAGCAACACTCACAGTCAGCTGACTTCACACCAGCAACACTCACAGTCAGCTGACTTCACACTGCAACACTCAGTCAGCTGACTTCACACCAGCAACACTCATAGTCATCTGACTTCACACCAGCAACACTCAGTCAGCTGACTTCACACCAGCCAACACTCAGTCAGCTGACTTCACACCAGCAACACTTGGTGCTCTCCCCTACTCTCCCCTGAAGACAGATTGTTTCTCCTGTTGTTACTGATATTTATCTTGAGAGAAGAGGAAGGCAGTGCCCTCTTCCCCCGCCTCCCCGCCCCGCCCCCATTGCAAAGTACAACCCACATGCAGAGTGCATTGGTCACTTAATAAAAAGATAATGAGTAGCTTAATTGAGTGGAAATATCTATATGGTTTAAGGCTATCTAGCCATTTCAGTCTAGAGAAACTCCAGTAATACACTTTTGTAATGATGGTGTACGGTGGCATACTGATGCCATTATAGCAAGTTCATTTAAATTGGTATCAGAAGCTATAGAGCCTGGCTTTCAAAGATGTGAGTTCAGGTGAGAGGAAGGATGAAGGCCCAGTGACTTCCTGCCAACTCGCCTCAACTTCTAAGTTAGTATCCTACTCTGTCTCAAAATGTCAAGCAAACCACAGAAACATTACTAAAGTCAGAACTCAAGTCTAACAGGATGACTGGTTCCTGATACCCAGGGTACCTGGGGTTCAGTGTCACCACACAGGCTTGAGGTGTCCTGAGCAGGGGTCACACGGGCTGCTGCAAAGACCTCAAAGCCCTCGAGGCCTTCCCTGCCAGGGTGAGGGGACAGACCCCCAGCCTAGGGGGACAGAGCCCCACAGCCTGCCCAACACCCCCCGCGCTGCACGGTAGCTCTGCTGTCCTCTGAGTGCAAGGAACCAGTTCTGAGGAACAGCACCGAACGGCACGGAAGTGGATCTGGAGAGAGGCCTTACCAATTCCATCATTCTCTGTGCTTACCAAATGCTGCCTCTATTTCTGAATTAGACAAAACAGATCAAGAGATGAAAATTACAAGGCAACTGGGCACCCGAGAGGTACAGGAGAGAGCAAGGTAACGCAGAACCCCACGCACTTTACAGCCCGTTCTGTCCCCTAACATAGCCTGTTTTTCTGGAACTGAGTTTAGCCCAATTCTCCGGTCACAGATGAGACAGGGTTACAGACCTTTCCATGGAACACACGTTCTAGAAGGGGAAGCGACTGCTCTAGAGAGCAAACGAATGACCTTGCTTCAGAACAGCAGGCACAGAGGGCTATGAAAATAAAAAAACACATCTGTGCCAGGTGCAGAAACAAAACGTGGTGGACCCCACCCGGCTCACTGAGCACACCACCTGCTCAAGGTGACCCAAGGTCACAGCCCCTAGAGAGCAAGACAGGCTTTCCACTCCTGTGGAGCAGTGTGACACACGCCTGTGTAACACACGGTCACCTAAGGGAGCAGCGTTCCCTCTGTGAATTCCTTCTTACGGTTTCCCAACTACAGAAAGCACAAGTGCTCAGGTGGCACTCTTACCTGGCTAGTGTGTACAAGGACCGAGGTTTGATCCTTATCATCACAAAATACAGAAAAACTGATTTTAAACACACACACACACAGTGTGCAAACACGGGTTTGCCAGGTTCTAAGTGGCTCACACCTATAATCCTAGCTGCTCAGGAGGCCAAGATCTGAGGATCCTGGTTCAATGCCAACCTAGTCAGGATAGTGTATGAGGCTCTTATCTCCAATTAACTACCTCAAATGTCAAATGTGACTCAGTGATGAGTGCTGGCCTTAAGCAAAAATAAATAAAAACCAGGCTGCACTCAAGCCTCAGGACTGGCACGCGCACGTGCACACGCACACGCACACACGCGCACACACACAAAACAGGAGGAGGAGGTGGGGGTGGGAGAAAAGAAGAAAAGACGGTTAAAATGACCCTAAATCCGCATCCAAGAAGAATCACAGGCACTGAGGGGCTGCCAGCACTGGGTCTGGGCAGAAGCAGCTATTTCAGACAATGTACTAGTAAAGGCTTCCTGCTATGCGTGCTCTTCTATCACATCTCCCACTCAAATCAATGTCCCTTTCAGTCAAAAGACCAAATATGACTGAGAAAATGTCCACCAACTCCACTCTACAAACATATTGATGATATTCAGGCATTCCTGGTACCAGTAGGTATTTATGTCCCATCTAACTTTCCACCATTACAAACTGTATGCCAAATAACCCTCCCTACAGATCTCTGAAAGGACCCCTTGCAAGTGCAACTTCTGTGTCAAAGCGTTTGCACATTTTAAATTGTAATCAGTGTGGCCAAAGTGCCAGCAGAAAAGGTAGACAAACTCACACCACTGCCTGCCCCGCGGTGCTTGCTCGTCCACCCAAAGTCAATATTGGGTTTTGTTGACCTTTTTTTAATCTTTATCCATCCAGTAAATTAAAAAAAAAAATGACCTCATTCTTATTTGCATTGCTTGGATTCTTCTTGAAGTTAAATGTCTTTTCACGTATTTATCTGCCCACTCTATTTTTCTTTCTCTTTTTTGCTGGTGTTTAATCACTGTCTTTTTGTAGCGGTTCTTTACATAAGACAATTACTGACCCTTCAACACAGCTTGCCATTTGTCTTTCAGCCACGAAAGTGGACTTTCAGCTGGACAGAGCATTCAGCTGTTAGATGGCCAAACTGAAGAATTACCTTCTCACACTTCTGCTTTTTGGATTAGAACACACCAAGATTATATAAACCATGCTTCATTTTGCTTCTGGTGCCACTAAGGCTGCTTTTTATACTTAACTTCATTCAACTGGACCTTATTTTGGTTTAGGAAGAAAACAATGTCCTCATCTTTTCCTAGCAATAGAACACATGTGTTGGTACATAAACTGTCTTCAAGGTAGACCTGGACACAGTCGGAGGACGACGTAAGTCCCACTCTGGGCCAGATATGGTGGCAAGCCTATAATCCCATCAATCAAGAGGCTGAGGCAGGTAGATCTCAAGTTCCAGATATTCCTGGGCCATCTCATGTCACACAATGCAAGCAAGACAGAAGAAAAAAATCCACACTGAGTCATCATTTTTGGACCAGTACTAGTACCTGATCTCAAGGCCTGGCCTTGTCCCTTAGTATTTTTGCTCAAGTCTGACACTCTAGTATTTGATCCACAGCTCTACTTCTAGATTTTTGGTTATTATTTGAGGGTAAGAGTCTCATATGGCTTTCCTGCCTAGGCTGGCACTGGACTTCAATCCTCAGGTCATAGCTTTTCTTGAGTATCGAGAATTACAAGTATGAGTCACCAGTGTTGGGATCTTGTATTAAAGCAATCAAAAGGAAAACAAAAGCAGCACAGACCAAAGATAACATAAAATGGAATAGACTAGATATGACTAAAGCAAGAAGAAAAAGGCTATAGATCAAACACAGATCAAAGCTTAAGCTGATGAGGAATCATCAAAATCCAAGTCAATTGTGAATTTTCTAACTAAGAAGTCTGGAGAAGTTAAGAGAAACAAGATCAGTGGGGAATGGGGGAATCTTATCTAAGCTGTCTCTCTCCTCTGCTAGAACCATAAAACCTTAATCTACCTTGACCAGGGCCCCTGATCTGAGCCAGAAGATCCGAGTTCAAGTCTCACCTCTTGTATAGGACGGCTGCCCTGGAGACCTGGAAATGCTGAGCTGGGCCTGGCCCTCAGTCTATAAGAGATG